TATTTGTAATTAAGAAAAGGTTAATCTCTGATACCTGTTTTCTTAAATAGAATATATAGAGCCAAGTGGCAAATAAAATAAAAAGATGATTTGATTCCCAAGAAGATAACCATTCTAAAATGCAGGATGCCATAGTCTCTCACAAATCAGATAAGTGATTTATAATTTTTACCTATTAAATCCAAAACACAATATTCTCTCCATGATTACAATAGTAACATTAAGACATATATGTAATAAATATATTTTCCCAGAATGTTAAAACATTTATAAAATTATAAAAGTATTATAATCACATTACTGAAAATTTAGAGAATAAAAAGATCAAGAGAAAAAAAAATTACCCAAAATCCTACCAACAGTAACATAACCACTCATCACTTTGGTATAATACTTCTTTAGTATTTTTTCTCATTCCTGTTGTGAAAAATCATGGCCAAAGTCTTAATAAAATTGACCTTGACCATAATACTTCTTGTTCCTGTTAAAACAAGCACTGTGGGCTAATGGACAAAGAATCAGAAGAACTTAAGTTTAATTAGGATTTGTTATCAAAATCTCCAAATGACTCTGATCAAGTGGTTTTCCCCATTAGCTAGCTATTTTCCAGCTATGCAAGGGCAACAGAGCTTGCCTTGAATGCCTCTCAAGATGTGGAGATAGGAAATGGTTTGTGTAACATGGAAAACCCCCAGCTAAATGGAATGTGATTCAGCCTAGGACACCAAAAAAAAAAAAAAAAACAATAATAATAATGAAAGCACAGCCAAAGGGAACTATTTAGGAAGAACTGAGGCTAAGTTTGATTTCCCCACCACTTCTTTGTCATCTTGAATTTTTGAATGAGGGTAAGGGGAAAGCTCTCTTCAAAGAGAATTTCATTAGAAAATGGCTATAGAATTTGAGGATAGGGTTTAGCATCTGGGTAATCCTGGAGCTCAATTCAATCTGCAAGATGTACACCGGAAAAGAGATGAAATCCTGCTTTAAAAATAATTAGGATTATTATTACTCCAGCAGGCAGACAAGGAAATGTTAAGAGGACAGATTTCATTCTGCTCTGCAAAACCATTTTTTCACTCTTTTAAATGGATATTCAGGCCAGTCACGTACTTGCTATTAAGGTCAGCAGACAGATCTAATAGAATGATGTCTGGTCTTGGAAACTGATAGTTCTGAACTGGTTCTCACAATTAGAAGCACTAAGTTAAATCCTAGTGTCTGAGCAAAGACAGACAGACACTGGACTAAATGGAATAGTTACTTAATGCCAGTGAGAGATGATCCAGATTAAATCGACCAGCTCTATTCCTGCCTTTAAAAATCGTTCCTGTTCCACTGAGAACTTAGGAGGGAATGGCCTGACAAAGGAGGTTTTCCTCATGTGCCACATGTATAAAGTGAGTGTACCTAAAATCATCAGTCAGTTACCTCTCCTCTCACAATCAAACCTTGTTACTTGAATGACCACCACAATAACATGTCTGCTTTATAGAAAGATTACAAGTGCCAGTGATAGCTAAATTGATGGTTTCAGTGGCTCTCAGAACTCATTGCAAACAGAACTGGATCTCTCCTCCCTTTTATGTCTTAATAAACCATGCCTGATTTTTTTCATTTTCCTCATTTGGTGTCACCTTTTCTGCTTTAGCTCCACTAATTGGCATGTAGTCTGCTGGCAGGTCCCATCAGCTCAAACTCTCCCCAAGATCACAAGGCTGGGCTGGGCAGCCTCACTCGCTTGCTCTCTATGCACTGCTTCTAGCTGTTAAAACCCAAGCAGATGCATCCAAACTATCTAAAACAAACTCAGTGAGCGTTCTTTCCTTCTAAATAGGTTTTTTAACACACATGACAAATATATTTATAGCCTATATTCCGAGTGTCAAGTACAAGACACAGAGGAGAGGATACCTCTGCCTGGTAGAGGGGAAGGAAAGAATCAGGAGAGGAAATGAGGGTTAAGCTGAGTTTTAGGATTTGCCATATTGAGTAAGGGCAAGAGGAAGGCAAGAGGTGTGAAATAGCATTGCATGACTAAGGAATAGGAAGGAGCGCGGTCTTAATGAAGGTTAGTGGCTGAAGGGGCTAGACAGGCAGGCTGTCTGGCCGTCCTATTGCCATTTAGTTGATTCCAACTCATAGTGACCCTATAGGACAGAGTTGAACTGCTCCATAGGGTTTCCAAGGTTGTAATCTTTATGGAAGCAGATTACCACATCTTTCTCCTGTGGAGCTGCTAGTGGGTTCAAACCACCAACCTTTCAATTAGCAGCTGCGAGCTTAACCACTGCACCACCAGGGCTCCTCAGAAAGGCAGGCAGAGATCAAAAAAGACCTTATATGTCAGACTAATGGATTTGCATTTATCTTGTATACAATCATAGCAAGACCTGTCCTTAATTGAGTGCTTATTATGTGCCAGACACTGTGCCAGAAGCTTTCTGTGGATCATTCATTCATTTAAGCAAACAGCAAACTTAATAAGAGAGCACTATTATTATCACCTTTCTAAAGCTGAAAAAACTGAGCCTAAGAGAGGGTAAAAAACTTACCCAAAATAAGATGAGGATTTTTTTGAAGTATTATACCAATCAGAAAGGGCAAGATTTCTAGTCAGATCAGGAAACAGAATTCTCTGTTATGTGGCAGGACACAGGACCATATCAGCATCATAAGCCTAGAGTGCACTCCAGTGGGGGTTAGATTCCTGGATTTGCCAAATTCTTCTACCTTGTTTATGCAAGGGCAGAAACATTATACAATATACTAGCCAATCCACAGGAGTCCTTGGGTGGCACAAATGGTTAAGTGCTCAACTATTAGCCAAACAGTTGGCGGTTTGAACCCACCCAGAGGCACCTCGGAAGACAGGCCTGGCAATCTGCTTCTGAAAAGTCACAGCCTTGAAAACCCTATAAAGTAGTTCTACTCTGCACGCATGGGGTCGCCATGAGTCAGAATAGACTTGATGGCAACAAACAACAATCCACATATCTTGAAGAGCACTGGCTGAAAACTAAAGTTGAGGTGCCCATCAGGCAAATTTAATAGATAGATCTCCGGATTTCAGCAACAAAACTGAAGGTGGAGATAAAAGTGGGAATCATCTGCATATGAGTCCTGGTAGTTAAAATCATAGCAGGGAGGGACATAATCCAACAGAAAGTATAAAATGGGAAAAGGAAGCTAAAGTATGAACCTTAGGGAATCCCAGTATTAAAGGTATAGGCAGGACAAGGAATCGGAGAAAAGTGATTGAGAAGGAAGAGTTTGAAGTAAGATGGGAATTAGGGATTGTGTCATCAAAGTCAAGGTAGGAGATTTCAAGAACAGTCAGATCTACCTGGTCAAATACTGTATCCCAAAGTCCAGTAGAATAAGAACTGACAAGAGTCAACTAGATTTGGCAAAGCTCTGATGGAGAAGAGAGGAGTTAAGATCATGAGAAGAGGTAGAAGGAATAAACCTTTCATGAGAAGAGTGATGTTTTTTCTGCAGCTGGAAAGCAAACAGTGAGAATGAGTGTGGGTGTAGACAAGTTTATAGATGGGTTGGCAGAATGACCCTTATTTTCTCCATGAAGAGGTAAAGGTACTCCCCAGACTGACTTGGGCTAGGTTTCTAATCTCTTTAGGATCACAGATGCTAAGATAAAAATGATGAAAACTACTGAACTGAACAGAAGAGAACATCCATAAACTCCCATCACAACTACTTACCTACTTATACCTGTGTCCATACACTCTGCCTTTCCTCTTACTCCATGCTCCAAGAAAAGCCCAACCCTCCAACTATCTACAAGATCCCATCCCTCTCACCTACCCAACCACATCATTTAGCAATTGTCCCCTCTCTCCTGGACTTCTCCTATCAGCATAGAAAACATGCTGTTATTTCTTCCATTAAAAAAAAAAAAAAATCAAACCTAACTTGACCTTACTTCCCCTCCAGTTATTCTCCATTTCTCTCCTTCCTTTTATAGCAAAACTTCTCAAAAGAGTTATCTCTTCTTGTCTCTCATTTCACTCCATTCAAGCTGCTCTCATTAAGGTCACTAATTACCTCTAAACTATGAAATCTAATGGTCAGTTTTCAGTCCTCATCTTATTTGACCTATCAGCATCTGTCACAACTGATCTGGAAAATCTTTCTTCACTTGGCTTGTCGGACATCTAATTTCCTTCTATCCCACTGGCCACTCCTTCTTGGTCTCCTTTGCTGGTTTCTCCTTTTCTCTCTGCCTTATTAAGTTGGAATGCCCCAATGCTCAATCTTCTTCTCTTTCATTGACTTGTGTTTTTATAGCTACCCAGTCTGCCTTTTGTAATTCTTGGATGTCCGCCTTGGCTGGTAGCAGTTACTTTGCAAAGCTGTTAAGTAAGTACCTATGCTTCTCATTTACTCCCTTATCTTATAAACAAGAGTCCCACTGAAGGCCTGAGAGCAGCTCAGTGCACTGTTCCCTGGTTGTGGGTCCCTGCCCAGAAGTCTTCATAGCTTTTCTCAAGGTTCCAGTTCCAAAGGGCTGGATTCACTAGAAGGCTGACTTTCACATGAGTAGGAGTGCTACTCTACTATAATAAATACCTTAGATTACATAATTCCTCTCTTTCAAAGATCACTAGCACACTTAGGCATACATTATTTACCCATTTTTATCCTCCCATAGTATTGTGATGTTGGAGATAGTATCTAATCGAAAAATAACAAAAGAAACTTCTCTATCAGAATTCTTACTACCTACAGTTAATGATCAAGGCCTAGAAATCAAAACTGCTATCTATTATTTTTAAATAGGAAATTAATTAGAATCATAATTAAGAAGACTTTAAACCATGAGATGATATTTAAGAAGTATTAGATATGATCTTGTAGCTTTTATGAGACAACCTAATCATGTTTGCTTCAAACTGTGTTATACCATTCTTTATAATCCACCTGACAACACACGAACACCTGAGTTGCAATTATTAAGTAAACTCAATTTTTGTACCTACCTTATATTTTGAAGTGTCCCAGTTGTGGACTATGCGTGCCGGGATAAGAAAATTGTCGTCCACATGGCAGCTGCCACAGTAGTACCACCCACTGTAATTGCACACCTTAGCTTTCCCATTGGAAAGGCCTATGGATCGCTGGCAACCTGTTCAAGGCAAGAGAAAAGAGTCTATGATTGTTGCTGTAATTTTAACACCACCAAGCAAGGCTATTCAACCTTCAAGTTAAACAAAAGTCTGGTGTACATTCATTTTCTAAAAACCAACAGTGCCATTTATTGGAAGAAGGAAACACCTGTTCTTTCAATTAACTGCAAGATTTCCTTCTTTAATATCATACTAGCAAATCATGGGCTAAAAATGCCTGAAACAATTCTCTGTAAAGATACACAATCTGGGATTTCACTTTATCATTGCGAGGTTTTCAACAAGAGAAAAAATGTGTTTTCTTACTAATGACTGTTACAAAAACACATTTTTTGGAAGGAACCAAAGCTGGAGCCTGACAGGCTACATTATGGGCAGAAAATAGAGCTGCAAAGTACAGAGAAAAAATAATTAATTGGAATAACTAATTAGAACTTATTTACATATTATATTTTTATGTACTTTCAAACAGACTTTTCAACAGTGCTTCTAAATTAAAAGGCACTTGTAGCAGGGAACACTCCACATGTTGGATCAAAGCAAATACATTCTTCCCAGTCTCTTTTCGGAACTTTTCAGAGAATGTATTCAATTCATAGGAACAAAAACCTATCACACAAGAGAACCCACTGGCCTTTTTTTTTATTGCTTCCCACCCTACTTCAGGTCTTTAATGAACACATGCTCTGATATACTTTTGGAAACAAATGTCACCATTTAACCAAAATCCTATTTGCTGCATGTACAATCTATTTCCCAAGTGCTTTTCACTAAAGACACCCAAAAGAATCTGTTGCTGGGGGCTGAAGCAGAAATTTTGGCATAATTCTCCACAAAGGCACGGTCTTTCTTCTAAAAAGTGTACTTAGTTAGCTCAGTTGGCTGCAATGTGCTGTTATTAAAGCTGAGATCTTGATGAGGAGCCAACCACCTTCTCTCTACTGCATGGCTACCAGCTTTGGCCCTCCTTCCTCTGGTCAGCAATTGGAAAATTCATGAGCCCTAATACGGAAGTGACGAGAACCATGGCTGGATCCCACTGAATTTCTCTCACTAAGAAGCCAGACTCATGCTTTCTAAGTGTGGATCAGTCATGTCTTCCTTTTCCATCTCTTAAATTAAGCTTTTACCTAATTTGCTAAATCCAGTATTTTGTATTTGGAAGGTAGACACATTTTAAGAAAAGAAAAGGGGCAAATGAAAAGAAAGAAGAAAAGGTGCTCCTATAAAAGTGACAAAAAGAGATAGGATGTATTTTCATTTGCTCTGTAAAAATGAGGAAAAATAAGAAAAGAAAAAAGAAAAGCTGGCGAGTTCCACCGTCTCTGCATGGTGTAGGGAGAGATCCATAGGAGCAGGGAAGAGCCCTCTCCTCCTCTTCCTTCCTCCTTCCAGTGTCCTGGCAGGAGACAGTGAGCTGTGGTAAGCACTGACTGTGCAAAATGTTGCTTGGAGGCCTGGGCTTTGATCATAGGCTCTTGAGATCCAGATTTTCCAAAATGAAGAAAAACAGAAATGACTTGCTACTTGATAAGAATTAGGAAACAAAGTCGTAAAGAACTTAGCTTTCCTAGCTTATAGTCTATAACCATTGGCTCATTGATTAGTTAAGTATTGAACATATACTTTTTAAAACAAGGTGTCACATTTGGTATACAACTGAAAGTTCTGTTTATTGAGCCTGGAGTTAGCACAAAGATAGGCACAGCATTTAAACTTTTGGACACAGGGAAGCAAGCATTTTTGCAATGTAGCTTTGGTATCCACTAAAGGAAGGAGAGTCAAAGCAAACGTGGGCCTCAGATCTGTATCCTCCACTGCTGGAGGGGGTGGGGCTGAGACGTAAACGAGGGTTAACATGGGTGAGACTGAGGCTACAGAATTCTACCTACGTAATTGTTGTGGGAAGCGGGCAAGGGGTGAGAGATATTGAGAATATCTACTGAGAAATAAGCATCCAAGTTACTCTATCTACATCTTTGGGATAAGGCAGTGATTGATAATGTAGGAGACATCGACTTAGTCATAAAATCAATTAACACATTAAATATTTGGATGAAGAATCAGGCACATGAAAACAAATGTCACTGAGTACACATTTTGTCTATAACAAGGCAAACAGGATTCAGAAACATCTCATTGAAACTAAAGGATCAAAAGGGGAAATCAAGAAAAATGAATTGTATACCACCTATAATTGCTACTGTGAACAGTAGGGTAAGCTGCTGATAACCCCTTTGTTTAGTTTATGGGCTCGCTCAAGACTATAACTCTTCAAAATAATTTTATCCATAAGGCTTTAAGTACCTTGATAGTGAATTCTCTTCTCAAGTGATGAAAACTTCATGGATGGAAGAGAACAGACACAGTCAAATACAATCCTGAAATGTACTGACTGGTTGTGTCCAAAGCTATGCTGAAATTCATTTCTGTTCATCACAAAAGAATTTTTTTCTGGACAGCTTCATTTTATTTTCATCTACATATGGTGAGAGATTATATATGAGAAACTGTCACTCATTGTTGCCCAAAACTTTGACTCATAAAGTTCTGCTGCACAAAGGGCTGACACACATTAAAAAGCACAAGTAACACTCGGGAGGAAATGGTTTCTACTTTGGCCGACACACATTCATGACAATGTAAGCTAGCACTTGTAGAATGTACTGCAGTTATTGCTAGGAGAGCTATGTCCTTAAGAATATAACAAAAGTAAAGGACTCCTCTTGGACAAAAATGAATGTACCTAAACAAAGAATTTACCTTTCAACACAGTAATACGGCAAATGTTATGCTTGTAAAGTATTAGCACTGTACCTGGCACAAAGTGAGTGTTCAAGACATATCTAGAGACAGAGACAGGCAGACAGACAGATGAGACTGAGACTAACAGATGCCAACTGTCCAAGACAGAGGCATCATATATTACTCCAATAACTTGCAGAACTAAGGCAATCAAAGCAAGGCTTCTGTAAAAAAAAAAAAAAAATCCAATTTGAATACAAATTGGTTTAAAATTTAAAGATATCCTATAAGCTATTGGGTAAGTTTTTGTTTTTGTTTTTGTTTTTTTTTTTCTTTTTTGCACTGGATTTTTAAACAGCTAAGTCAGCTTTGACTTCTATGGTCTATGTTGTATTAGCAGTGTTACAAGTATTATATTTAAGTAAGAAATAATATGAAAATTGCATGTAAGGTAATTACTGCCTATTGAAAATGCAAAGACTTTTTATACTCTTGCTAAACTCTATAATTCTTGTTTGTTTAATTTCCTGGAATGTTGTTAGTAAGATCACAAATGGTGTGAAATAAATTAGTAACTACTAGTAGATTCCAACTCAAGTTGAGAAGTGTCAAGATTTATTGGTCTTTTGAATAAACAATAATTGAGAACATAAAGTCAATATTTAGTCAAAATTTATCTTGAAAGGCAATAAATCTTGATTTTTGCTGAGGCAAGTAAGTAAACATGTGCACCATTCTAGAGAGTCTGACTGCTTTTCTATCTACCAAATATCTATCTTGAGTTATAAATTTAATGATCTGTGACACAGATTTTCACTTGCAAAGACATGATTTGAGCTGTTGAGTAACTTCTAATTTTTCTTACAATAAGATGCTTCAATACCAGCATTTATAGTAGTGTAAGCTACAAAAAGTTTAATGATGAAATGTTATAAATTCAGCATCTAGTATATTTAAATCAGTCTAAAAATTTTTTTTTTCTCATCCTTGTTTTCCTTTTAACAGTCTATAACTGGACTTTCTCATTTACTTCTGGGTCTGTCTGTTATTTCCCCAAAGACTTTCAAGAAAATGGTAAGCTATTTTAAAATGGAAATAATAGGAAAATGGATAAACAAACACTTGCATAGTGCTTACTATATGTCAGGCACTGTTCTAAGCACTTTATATATATATATATTAATTCATTTAATCCTCATGTCAGTTCTATGAGGTGGATATTACCCCCATTTTACAGATGAAGAAATTAAAGCAGAGGATGATAGAGTCATTTTGTCCAAGGTTGCACAGCTAGTAAAAGGCACAGGCTAATAACTTTAAGAGCAATGCCAACCTATTATAAAGGTGAATTTCCATGTAGCTATCTCCCTGTGGATGATATTAAAAAACTATCTCCTTGTGAATGACAACATGAGATGGACAAAAAATATTAATTAATTTATACAAAAAGAACATAATTTGGTTCATTGATAAACTCAGCCTAGGACCTCATGAGTGTTAGCATTACCTGTGAATGAGGGGAAGGGGAACAAGAACAAAAATACATAAGGTAGAAAGCAGAAGATAACAAAAGATGAGCAAAGGAGGAAGCAAACACAACTAACTGTGGAGGTCAAGGAAGGCTGTGTGGACATGGGAGCGTTTGAGCTGGGTCTTGAAGAAGACAGGTTTTGAAAGAGGAGTGTGGGAAAAGGCTTAAGTCAGAAAAATGGGAGAATATTTGGAAAACATCAAGTAGTCTAGTTGTCTGAAGCTCAGTGTATCTAGACGGGTGTTGGGAAAAGAGCTTGGAACAATAAGGCAAGGCCAGAACGTCAGAATCCTGAATGCTCAGGGTGAAGAGTCCTTACTAATCAAGAACAGCTAGAGTTGTTGGAAGCAGAGCAGTAATCTGGGCTTGGGAAAGACTAACTAGCAAGAAAAAAACAAAGGGGGAGAGAACTAGATGATAAGTTACTGAACGAGTTTAAGCTTGATTAGGCAGTGGGTTTGGAAGTAGGAAGGGAAAAAGAGAAGATACTACAGAGACAAAATGCAAACGTTTGGATATGGAGAGCATGGGAAGGGAAGGGCACCATCAAAGATGCCCATAACGCTTTGAGCCTAGGTGATCATTATATGAGAAATCTATCAGTTAAAAGAAGGTGGTTTAGGCAAGAAAATGTTAAGTTTGTTTGGGGCATTAAGTAAAAAAAAATAGAGTTCCAAAAATTTGAGCTACCGAATGAACTGATGCCTAAAACTCAGCTACATG